GTAGGTTCAGACCACTATCTAGTGCAAGGAACTTACCTTCAAACTCAACTTGAAAGCCTTCAAAGAAGCTGGTGACAATAGACCACAGTTGAAGTTCAACACCCAGAAACTGAAGGACAAAACTGCAAGGGACATCTTCACGTCAGCCATCAGAACAAAATGGGAGACATTGAGCAACATCCCTGAACAATCGGGCGTGGAAGAACACTGGAACTCCTTGAAAGCCATGTGGGAAGAAACCTGCATAACCGTATTAGGAAGGGAAAGGAAACAAGATAAGGAATGGATCTCGAAGGACACATGGAAGCTGATAGAGGAGACGAAGATGGTGAAGCAGAAGTTGAACCAGTACAAGGATGCACAACGAAAAGACGAACTGAGTACAACGTATAAGCGAAGAGTGCGCACAAAGACAAAAGACACTTTTACGACTCATTGGCAAGTGAAGCAGAACACGCTGCAGGCTCTTGGTAGGAGAGACCTGACAACATTATTTGCATCAAATAACCAAGTTACTATCTGGTAGAGAATAGATCTACGCAGACGAAACCAGTTATAACTGGTAACGGAAAGCTAGTTACCAAAGAGGAGAAACAAAGGAAACAATGGGCTGACCACTTCAAAAAGCTCTTGAATCGACCACCACCTGCAACTCGTCCAGGAATACGACCAGCAGCCATAGAACTACCAGTGAACATAGACCCTACGATAAAAGCTTAAGTCCTGGGTGCCATAAAGTTGCTGAAATTCGAGAAAGCGGCAGGACCAGGTGGAATTCTACCAGAAGCACTGAAAACAGGTGCAGAGACAACAGCGGACATGCTCACACCACTACTGCAGAAGGTTTGGAAGGAAGGAAAGGTACCTACAGATTGGAAGAAGGGGTGCCTTGTCAAACTTCCAAAAAAGGGAGACTTGAGTCTTTGCAAGAACTGGTGCGGAGTAATGCTGCTGTCCCTGTCCACCACAAGCAAAATATTATACCACATCATCTTGGAGAGAGAGAGACTAAGCAATGCTCTGCATTCAAAATTACGACCAGAACAGGCTGGCTGCCTGACAGGCTTCAGGAAGAACAAATCATGTACGCATTAAATTGCAACGCTACGCAACACATCACCATAGAATAGAGCATAGAATGCCAGTCAACTCTCTACCTCACCTCAACTTCATCGACTTTGAAAAGGCATTCGATTGTCATTGACAACACAATGGAAAGCTCAGTGACGCCTTTGAAGTGAAAACATGGAGGAGTAAAACACAAGGCTGCCGCCTGCTATCTATCACCGATCATCTTCCTGACTGTGGTGGACCATGGTGGATCATGCAAGAAACAACTGTGAGGAGCGAGAAGATGGATATACACTGTTTGATTGATGAAAAGACCGTGGAAGATTTGGATTTCGCCGCCGATGATGATTTGTGTCTAATGTCTTGTTGCACAAACTCGAAGATGTACAGGCGAAAACTAACAAGTTGGAAAAAGAGGCTGGGCAGCGATGACGGGACTTTCTGCAGGTTAACCTAGAAAAGACAGAGGTAGAGGCGATTAGGTCAACGTCTATGTAATCTGGTGACGAGAGGGAAACCTCCACAAGAATATCTATGACAAAAGTGAATAGAAATGGAGAGAGTGGGCAGCCTTGACGGACACCACTCGATGAGCATAGCTCCCTGGACATCTCACTATAGGCTCCAACACGCCCACAAGTGTTCGAGTAGAGAGCCTTCAATGAGGTGATGTACTCACCCAGGACGCCTTTCAGTGAGAGACATTACCATAAGACTTCTCGATCAGCGCAGTCGAATGCCACCTTTAGGTCGAGAAATACAGCTATTGTCGGGTGTCTGTAAGCGTGCCTATATTCCACAACCTGACGCAGTGTGAATATTTGAACAATACACCCGCGATCGGGTGTAAAGCCTATCTGCCTGGTTTTCTCGAGCTTGCTGTTCCCAAGCTCCACTCAAGCGTCGAAGAAGTATAGAGCCTAGAATTTTAGACACTATGTTGGTCAGGCTGATTCCTCTGTGGTTGTCACAAGAGGACTTCTCACCTTTCTTGAAGACTAGGATAATCAGTGATTTAGACCAATCAGAGGGGATCGTATTTGATTTCCATATACTGGCTAACACTTCCGTTAACCTGACTAACAGCACTCTACCAACATCCTTGTATACCTCTGGAGTTGGTCCGTCTGGTCCTGCTGCCCTTCCTCGTTTCAGGTTACCTATTACTTTCTCGAATTCTGCTAGTGTTTGGGTGGCCTATCTCAATGTTCCATTTAGGATCCGACTTGATAGCGGACAACGTAATGGTGTCTGGAGGCCAGTTAAACTGTTTCTCGAAGTGTTCTGCCCATCGTTCCAGTCGTCTCCCCTGAGAGTGAATCATAGATCTGTCCCTTTCCTCTATAGCCTAACTAACCATTGTTCACATTTCCCCCCAGTTTCCTTAATAATCTTAAATAACTATCTGCAGATACCAATCGCCGCTGCCTTTTCCATCTCTTTAGCCTTCGCTGCCCACCACTGTTCGGGTCATTGCTTAGACTTTTTCTCAGTCTACTATTAAGCTGTGCTCGCTCTTCATTGTACTCAGAGCCTGCAGGGATGCGTTCAGGTGCATGCATTGGTTCGGAAGAAGCTGCTAATATCCACTGGCTCTTTGTAGCGACTGTTTCTGAGTCGGTTACGGTTTTCAGCGCTGCTTTTACAGCAGACTGTAGATGGCACCAAGCTTCTTTGGATGGATGAGTGATAGTCTTTTGTTCCGATAACTGCCTAGCCAACTTCTCACTGAACACGGGTTAGGTGTTTTCGTTGTCCAGCAGCACTCTTGATGGTTTTGTTGCCGGATTTTTCCTATGTCCACTGAGACGCAGGTATATATGCTCTCGGATCAACGCGTAGTCGCTATCCAAACATGTACTCCAGAAGGAGCGGCAGTCTTTCACCGATCCTCTCAAGCGATGACTGATAGCAATGTGGTCTATCTGTGTCCATCGCTGAGTGGAGCTCGATGGACGCCACGTCAGACAGTGTCTTTCTTTATGTCTGAAATTTGTGCTAGCTAAAAATAGGCAGTTATCTGAGCGTAGTTGAAGTAGGTGATCACCGTTATCTGTTCGTTTAGCCGGGACTCTGAAAGTGCCACCGAAGTGCCTTTCTGCCTCAGTCAGTCTATCCACCTGTGCATTGAAGTCACCTGCAACAACCACCACGTCCGAACGTTTGGCTTTCGTGAGGAGGCTAGACAGTTTACTGTAGAACTCGTCCTTCACTTCATCCGAGCTGCAGTCAGTGGGTGCGTAAGCAGAGATTACAAAGAGATAACGGCGAGTCTCACCATTCCTTTTAGTTCTCACTGTGTCGTTCAGCCGGACAACGTAAAGTTGAATATCAACTCTGGTCTACTAGTGAGTTTTCTGCTCTAGTGCTTAATGCTATGCCTACACCTGCCAGACCATGAGAGCTAGCTAACGAATCTCTAGAAACTCGAAGGGTGAATTTTGTGGATTCACCAGATTGGCTGGAAGAGGTCAAGTGAATAACCGTACTTGGGTCCTGTATGCGTACCTCACAAACACAGCACACACCCATGGCCCGAGTTGCTAGAGTCTTTGCCAACGAAGCCTGTTGACCAGTTTGACGAAGGATGAGGATATTGAAAGCTCCAATATATAAGTTGGAGCGTAGTTTAAGGAGACCAAGTATGCTGTTTCGTGGATTCAGATCGTTGTCGAAGGCTGCAGAGCTAGGAGAAATTGAAGATGATGTAGTATTGTTAGTTGAGAGACGTGAAGGAAGATTAGAAGGTAAGAGTGGGGGAGTTGGATAGCAATCTGAGAAAACTTGAGTGCTGACAGAGTTGTGAGGGCGGTTGACACTTTCCGGTTGCCCATACCGTGGAAGGCTATTTCTTCTTAAGGTGTCTGGAGGATATTTGTGTGACCGTAGAGCCCATTGGACATCTGCTTGAGGCCTGTCACACACAGCCTTTTGTGTATGATTGTTTTAAACTTTTGTTGTTTTTTGGTCGGATGGTCGAAAAGAAACGACAAATGAACCAATACCACCGGCTGGGCAGATCGTGGGGTATGGTGGAGTGTGTTATTTTGTGGAACGACCTTTTCGGACCCCCTCTTCCACTAAGAAGGTAGCATCAGCATGGCACTACTGGTCATCGAAGAGAAACATCTTACCGCTGTCACACCCCATCCAGCTAGCAGCAGTACGACTTCGATCTCAGTGTAGTAATTTACACCACAACGGTAACTGCCTTCGTTTAATCACTACCCAACAGACCTTTCTGGTATGGGAGGACCTCGAGGGGAGGAGTGTTCCACCAGCATGGCTGGTTGGGTCATTGTGATATGTATGCCCGACCACCACGTCAAGGTAGCAGCTATCGGTCAGGACTGTTGATTTACACTGGAACTGGTTGAAAGAAGCCACTCTGTGACGTCGTACCATAGAATAGAGAAAAACTACTTAGTGTTAGCTCCTGTTGTTGCCTCACGACCATATGGTTGGGTACCGAAAGATTACGGAACTTATTGACTTGACACGATAACAGGCATGTCTCAGGCTCGAAAATCAGTGACAACCATGTTGCAATTTTCTTGTTTCTTCCATTATAGAAAAACGAAATCAGAGTAGTGACTGCTTCTTTACTAACTCATTTCTGTTTTCACTTCCATCCTTTTTTCCCGGTTTTTGTGTCACGTTTTTGTTTCAAATAAAAGATGTTTCATTACCTTTTGCTGTAGAAGCAGTGACTGCTAAACCATCTAGGTAGCAATGTAAACGTTATAAGTAGCATCTTCGATAAAAGTCAGGTAATGGTGTTACTAACCGTTTGCCGGTATTGGTATTCGATTTTATTGATCTAACTTTTTCCAGGTGATTTTTCAAGCGAATACGCTAACCTATATCTTACTAGTAAGTAGGATTTTATATACATGCACGCCTTAAATGCGTTCTTTTTGGTTTTTCAGGTGAGCGGAAGTTGTATTGATGAAGTTAACGAAACTCATTTCTTCTTGTTTCCACTTGCCAGCGCTTTAAAAATTTCAGTCAGTAATGTTGGCAAGTATACAAACCCTTCGAGCAACAATGTACATATGGTTGTTACTACTGGCTGTAAGTTAGTGAGTGTTTTATTAAGTTACATTAATTAATTCTCATCAAATACTTCCTACACAGTTGTTTCTGTAGACAAATGTAAACGGTCTCCAAACATTTTAGGTTTCTCGCAAACTAAAACCAAGAAGCCTGACTTCAACATACAATAAATAATACTCATGAATATCTAGTATGTTCTGGCTCAGCCGCATTTGTTTCCTGACGGACATTGCAACTGTGTGAGCAGTCTCTCAAAGTGAGATGCATAACTTAGCCATCCGCATGGATATGAATTCAAAGCCTCATATGCCAACTCACTCTCTTCGAGCTTAATTTTAGTGTCTGCTATTTTATGGACCAACCACACACCAGTAATGATTAGAAGATCTGGATAACTAGATACACATAACCTTATGTCCTCTACTTCCAATATCTGTATCAGACGTGAATAAACACAAAGATTTATGTAATCCTCGACTGTGTCAAAGGTAGCTCTATCCAAAGACCATATGTACGATACCCAACCACGACTGTTACACCTACTTAAGTGGGATGTAAGTCCTTATAGAAGAACCTACTATTCCGTTATCAGCTTTCCTATCGGATCTTGATTAGAACACTCAGGCAAAGCTTTGAATACTTACAAAACTCGAGAAAGTTCGAATTAGTCTGAAATAAGGGAGGTCAATAGAGTCAGACGGACTAGAACTGGAGGTGTTTAGGGATGGTGGTCAAGGATTACTAGTCAGGTCAACTGAATTGTTAGCTAGTGTATGGAAGTCAAATATGATCCTCTGTAACTGGTCTCATTCATTGATCGACCCAGTTTCCGAGAAAGAGCAGAAATCCTCTTCTGATAACTACACAGGAATCATCCTGACGAACATAGTGTCTAGGATTTTAGTTTCTTTGATCATCGGGCGTCAGTGTGGAGCTCAAGAGCAGCAAACCTGACCCTTGGTGTATCAACCAGATATTCACTCTTCACTTGGTTCCAGAACACACATATTTACTGACGCTTGATGCTAGCTGTATTTCTCGACCTGAAGGCGGCATTCGATTCTATCGATCGAGATTTCTTGCTGCAGTGTCTCACTGAAAAGTGTGCCGAGTATGCCCATCATTCTGCTGTAGACTGTGTTCGTACACCTGTGGGCGTGTGAGAGCCTACAGTGAGTTACGTACGTTGAGTGATATTTATTAATAGTGTCGACATCCCATTCTTATTCAATTTTACCATAGAAGTGCTTATGGAGGCCTCCCTTTCATCATCTTTTTTTTGCAGGGTTCGATCTTGTTTCAGGAGAATCCTTAGTAGTCACAGAGTATGCAGATGCCATAATTATGTTAGGTGATACTGAAAAGTCCAGAGTCCTTCGGACACCTTGAGTAGTAATATGATAATGTTTTGGATGTTTTTCATTCCCCAAATGCAAATGTTTGCTCCACGACTGGTTTTCGTTGATGCCTCATCCAACAGTAGGGAGTGAAATGGCTCAGCGCGTCGAACACTTGACTAACCTAGGAAGTCAGATCACCCTTGGTGAGTCAGTGACCGAAGAAATCTATGCACGGTTACGAAAGGCTCAATCGGCTTTCGCCAACTTACGTCATCTGTCGTGTCACTGTGATATCCGATTGCCTATTAAGAGTTGAGTGCACTGCGCTGCAGTTTGTTCTATTCTACTTTATGGTTATGAAATATGGCCATTGTAGGTAAACGACATGAAAAGGCTTTAGGTGCTTAACTACCGTTGCTTTCGTAGCATAGGCTATGTACCATAGTGTTACTATGTCAGTGATGTCTAAGTCAGGCGTAAAGTTTTAGACGGAAAAGCAAAGTCAGTCGATAAGGTTGTGAATCTTCATTGACTCAGATAACTGGAACATGTCTAATCATCGTCCCAGGGCCTATCGGTTGGTTAAAATATGGTCGGTGCACCATCGTCCAGGTTTGAATCCTGCCTGCTTTTCTCTTATTAGATTTTTTGAGCTCCAGTCTGCTGTCGTATAACTATAAACGCCAGGATCTTAGACATGACGTTAATCCAACTGATCCGCCTTTGGTTGTCACATGAAGACTTCCTTCCATCCTGATGGACTGGAATGTTCGGTGGAGACCTGTCTGGTAGAACTACCTCTGATTTCCATACACGACCTAGTACCTCCGTTAATCTACTCGGTATTCTTCTTTCTCCCACGCTTAAAATGGGTAGCAACTAATCAGGTCCTGGCGCTTTGTATCGTTTCTGGCTTGAAGCAGTTTTCTAGATTCCGAGGATAACTGTAGATATGACATCTACGCTAATGTCTTCTCCATTTCTATCTATCTTGCTTCCGCCGTTCACCACTCCTTGCGTCAATCGCGAAAACTCTTGGTCAAGTTACTTTTAAGTTGCTTTCTCTCATCGTGGTCAAAGCCAGCTGGAATCAGTCTTCTTGTATCAGTCAGTTTGGATAAGGTTGCGGAAATCCAATGACGTTTGCTAACCTTTGGATATCGATCACAAACGTTTTATCACTACTTTTGCAGCTGACTTAATGTTATTCCAGGTTTGCTCAGGTTGAGGATTGCCATCACGTTCAGATAAATGCCTAGCTATCTCCTCCTGTAAAACATACTTCACGTTCTCACTTTGTAGTTGAGTACACAAATGTTTTCACTGCCACCCGTTTTCTGTAGCCAATAAGGCAGCAATATACAGGTGCCCATACTAATGGGTGACTGGAGTCGAAACAGGTACACCAGAAGCAGCCGCGATTTTCCAACTATCTTCAACGATGCCTTATAGCAATATTGTTTATCCGTGTCCATCATTGGTCTGATATCGGTGAACATCAAGTGAGGCGGTGTCTCTCTTTATGATTGAAGTTGATGCTGGTCAGAAAAAAGTGATTGTCGGAACAAAACTGCTACAAACTTAATGTTTTCAGGTTCGTTGGTATCTTATTCCATAGATACCTCCAAGATACATTTCCTATTGGCTCAGCTTCCCTGTTTGAGCGTTAGTCACCTGCCATTATGATCACATCTGAACGCTTTGCTTTTTGTAGCAAAATTGACAGCTTTTCTTAGAATTCATTCTTTGCAGTATTCTAACTGCAGTTATTCTCTCTCGGTTCTTACAGATTTATTCATTCGATTAGCACATAGATTTCTGTTGACTAATATTCAGTCGAGTAGGCCACTTTCTGCTCGAGAACTTGGTACTATACCTACACCGGTAGTACACGAGAGCTAGCCACTGAATCTCTGGACACTCGTAAAGTGGATTTTGAAGATTCACCACACTGGCTAGGTGAAGTCAATTTAACAACCGTACTCGAATCCTGTATACGTGTCTCAAAGACACAGTACATACATCCATGGCTTGAGATCCCAGAGTTTTCACGAGCAATGCCTACTGTCCGATTTAGAAGAAAGTTCGGACATTAAAAGCTCCTACATGAAATCGATGGTGGGGTCTTAGGTGATTAGGAATGAGGTTTTGATGGATTTAATTGTTGGCAATGGTCACAGAGTTAGATTAGGGAAGGTGTAAGCGGCTTAATATTGGCATCAGGAGGTGAAGGCAAAGGAGAAGATAGAGCCGAGGAGAATAAATTATGTTTGATTGGATCTTGTGTGCTACTGGAAAGGTGTGGGTTGTTGGCACTCCCCGGCTGCTCACATCGTGGAAGGCTAGTTGTTTTTGAGGTACTTGAAAAAGAAGAGATAGTGTGACCACAGAGCCCGTGGGACATCTACTTGAGGCCAGTCACGCAGCATTTTGTAGATTTCTAGAGTGAGGTTTGGTTGCTCCGATGCCGTAGAGAGAAAGTTTATACCGTCGGAACTTCTAGGCCATGGAGAAGGGAGGAATGTGCTATTTATGGAGTCAATCTTTTCTATTCCCCCCCCCCTCTCCTTCCAGTTGGAAATGCAGTATTAATGTGGCACTGCTATTCATCCGCTAGAAACACTGTTGCTGTCACACCCGTCAGCCAGCAGTCCGACTTTGCCTTCTGAACCTCATCACAGCGCAGTAATTTACATTATAAACGGTTCTGATTTTTGTCTGACCACTATCCAACAGACGTTTCTGTTGTGTTAGTAGGACTTCGAAGGGACAAGCGTTCCACCAGCATAGCTCGTTAGGTCATTGTGATATGCATGTGCGGCCACGACGGTATTGTAGCTACTGAAGACAAGACAAGACGTAGTTCGTAAACCAGTATACCAGGATTATTGAAATGTATGTTATGGTTAGTGGAACTGTGGTTTACTTGACTAGAGAGATAACTTGCGACCCCTGGGTCTTGGGTTCGAATCCCTGTCCACCTACCGAGATTTAAGTATGCATATGGCGTCGTTAGCCCTCACATAGCAGGTTTGGCACGAATATGCATAAAGTTGGTGAATCCATTCCTTTTTTCGATCATGGTCAGGCAATTTAATAGGGACACATGTGGTATGTGAACAGAAATTTTCTACTGTAAATGATGCCTACAGTCTAGAAGATGCCATACTGTGGTTTGCAACTCTCTGCATGACTCCTGTTTCAATTCAAAAACTTCAGGGCTAATCTTGTCTTAAGTCGTCGCTAGGCGTTATGATCATTTCTGTTATGCTTCAGTTCAGATATGTGTCCTATTCATAAACAACTAATAACTAGTGAAGTATTGAAGTCATTAGCTTTATTCAAACTGTTACATAACATTATGCCACCTAGACATCATAGATATTCTTTTATTATCATTTCATTTCTCTCGTCATATTTGTAGATCGTTTACCACCTGGTGTATTTACTTGTCCATCTGGATTTTTCGCTTGTCAATCGTTCAATAAAGTGATTGAACCTCGAGATTCTCCATTAAATTGGACTTATCGTATATGCTTACCCTTAGAATTATGGTGTGATGGAGTAGAAAATTGTCCAATTACAGGATCAGATGAACGAAAATGTTCAATTTCATCGCCACCTATGAAATATTCACATACAAATGCACAAATTCTAGATGAATATAAAATGCTTGGCAGTATTTTAGAACAATATTCAAAGAATACAAGTTTATTAAAACTAGTTGGATATAAAAAAATATCTGAAAAACAAGTTGTATCTTTTGCATTAGTTAACATACTTTCATTTTCATTGGGACTGCTTGCAATGATCTCAGTGATAGCTGTTCTAATTTTTAAGTGTATATCATTAAAAAAGAGAAGACGAAGTAGTACAATTAAAGTTATTGATGAAAAAAGTTATCATGAAGTTTCAAACAATACCAATAGCAGCATAATTAACAATAAAATTAATGGTACTCATCTAAAAATTGATTGTTTTACAGACCAATCATCCAATCAGAATAATATCAATGAGAATAACAATAATCATGAGATAAATAGAGGAGTAAATGATACTTATAGTGATTATTATCAATTTCTGCCGAGTAGTACATATGAAAAAATCATTGTCTGGATGATGTAGCCAAAGAAGAAATTATTAAACTTATCAATGGGGAACCTCAAGAGCAACAACTAACATTATCACATTGAAAGTATGATCATATAGCAATGAAGAAAGCGGTTATTGTACATTGGCGTGTGTTTATATTTTTCATTCGTCTGTACATGAAGTTTATCTTTGTGTTGTACTAATTGACAAAGTTGTTATACTCGAATCCTATTTCTCAGTGAATCTCGATTTTTTTGACTTATCCTTCAACATAATGCCTGGTTCAGTCTGATCACATGAGTCTTATTTCAATAGGATGTCTGTAAAACTCACGTATTTATCAAGTTCCATAAAGTATTCCGGTGATGACCAGTCAATATTTTGTGTCTTTTTTCATACTTTTATCAATTATGAAACAATCATGTTCCTTTTTCTCTTCTCGCTTATATTGTCCATTTTTCCCAATTATTATTTAGTTATTTAGAGAAATTTTGAAATAGTATTCTTATCCATTATTTTATAAACGATTCAGCTTGTCGCCTGAATTACATTCTTTGTAGTACTATTATCACTTGATTTACCAACTATCATTTTAAATTTCATTTAAAAAGTTGATGAAATATGTTCTTATATTGTTTAACTTACAGCATTATTTTTCATCGTTGATTCATATTTTCTATGCATTAATTATATTAACTACGATTCGTTACATCCTGTCTGTAATTTACAAATAGAGGTACATTGCTCGATGTATTCTTGTTGTTGTTCTCATTGTTATCCAAGTGAAATACTAATTGAAAAGTTGAGTACTAATAGGGTTTTGAGGGTGGATAACACTTTCCAGCTGCCCATACTGTAAAAGCTTAATTGTCCTTGAGGTGCCTGAAAAGGAAGAGTTAGTGTGTGACAACAGATCACAAGGGACATCTTGCGGTCGGTCACAAATAGTCTTTTTAGAATTTTAAGGTTTAAATTTGTTAGTTTTGAATCCAGGTCGCCGTCACTGGTATACCTTAAGGTTAAGAGGAGTATGCTACTTTTGACAGAAAGACAATATCAACGTAGGACCTAGCACATTAGTGCATCGGCTCAATTTATCACATCACATTAGTACAAAGAACAGTTGGATAGAGAAAGAGTGATATCAAAGTAGATATAGTTGTGTGAGAGAATGAACGATTTGAAAATAATGCTTGGTAAAAATATTTGAGCTTTAGAAGACGACAAGGCGCGAACACGTCTGTTCCATGTCACCAAGAGTCCCTAACCACTAATTCCTATTGTTTTGGGGATCCCACGTAGTCGACATCTCTCCACACAGCTCAGACTAACAGTTAGGGACTTTGTGGTAAGGTGCTACATTTAAGGTTGACCTTTTCTAACCTGCCACCCTTCCTATAGGGGAGGCAGCATTAGTGTAGCACTGATGTTCATCTACGAGAAACACCTTGTGCTATCACACCTATAGTCAGCCAGCAGTACGACTTCACCCTCAGACCCCCTATCGTAGTATAGTAATTTACACTATAATGGTAACTGATTTTTGTCTTACCACTATCCAACAGACGTTTCTGTTGTGGTAGGACCTCTAAGGAAAAAGCGTTCCACCTGCATACTTCATTAGGTCATTTTGATACGCAAGCATGGTCAATGTAGCAGCTATCCGTCAGGCGAAAGCAGGCGTTTTGATTTAAGTGTGCATACATGTAATAGTTTACTGGATGAAGTTTCAGGTGCAATTTATTGTTCATAATGATACCAAGGTGACTACACAACTTTCTGAGAGCTGTCTTGTTACTGAGTTATTTATGGGAGCAGAATTTTCCACATATCCGGGGTTGATGTTGAATTATTTTGTATAACATTTGCTCTTTGGCGTATTTTGTTTACACTTGAAGAGACAGTGTTATATGATTTGTTAGTGTTCACACTCTGTCCTTATAAGTGTCATCTTGCTATTGATGTATAACGGTGGATTTGTAGTACACCCTCTTGGCACCAAAATACCGCAAGGTTTAAAATAAACAATAAAAACTTAAATAATCTTCTACGGCGTCGACAGCTCACCTTAGTTTGGCAAGTTTGCTTTAGTGTATAGGCATCCATCGACATTCACCATTTTTACGTCTTTGTTGTACTGATCGGCAGCAACTAGCTCAAAGTCCCTGGCTTAGGCAGTAATACACAGATAAGTTAGCATTCTCCCACGAAATAACATCTTTATCTATTACTAATAAACAAACTTTGTCTGAGCACTTTATACCATATGACGTGTTTTCCAACTTGTCTTTTGTCACCAATACCTACAGGTAGGTAAGGTACTGGTTAGGTTGTTACTGGCCCACATTGATTTTCCAAGTTGGTATTCATCATCGACTGACATCAGTTGGACGAACATTGGAAATCTGGGAGCACTGGACAGCTGTTTCATCCTATTATGGGACTACTCAGCAGTGGGCACCCATGACCCCGCCAGGAATTGGACCCAGGATCGTCAAGTTCCGTGGCCACTCGGTCGGAATTTATTGGTTCATATTTCTTACTCCTATCAGTTCACGATTTAGTGCGACCATCACCCAATGTCATCGTTGAGTATTTGTCCTTCTGGTCACTAGGTCTACCCTACCGGTCACGACTTCTTATTGGAACTTCAGGAATCACCTTTCGAAGCTAGTCACCGATGAGGACTAGTTCAACTTAATTTGTGGGGATTTAGTGATTTTTCAAGTTGATTTACATAAGGCTTGTTCAGTGTTAGGTAATAGTAACACGACGAATTCATCGCCCATTCGGTACCTCCAGTTGTAAAACTTCTGGAAACAGTAATCACAACAAGCATACCAATTTGTAACAAGTTGAAACGTGTTTTATGTACCAGAGCAAATACAGATTACCAGGTTACACAATAAATTGAACTACTCACTTGCATACCTGTAGCTCATTCATTCTGTAATAACATTGCAAAGACATATAGAAAACAGACCTTTATGCATTCAAAACCGCTTCCTTGTCCTCATGCTCGACAAATTACCAATAAAACTTGCATAAAAGGGTTAATATGTTCTAAGCTAGTCTCCTTGATACGAAAAGTGCATGAAATATTGAAAACTAAGCTGACTGAAATGAAAAAGACGACTAATTAAATAAAACAAGCTTTCATTCATTGACAGGTGAGAAAATAGTGTTACAGAATTCACCAATGTTTTTTTTTGGCCATGTACTCACCATTAGGTTTTTCTCTTGAGAAAAACTCATTATCAGTGGCTTCGGTATCTATCAGTAACTCATTGTTTTAGGAAACCTATCTTCTAGTAATGGATGGATCCGAGATTCGAACCCGGCCCTAGCTTCAGTCTAGTCAGTATCATATCACCTTACGAAATAACTGTGGTTCATTGCCTGGTAGATTAACATGTACCAGGTTTAGTTACATTTTATTTTTACATACATTTAGTGTGGTAAGTAATATCCTATTTAATACCCTACATGTGACTGAGTTTCTTTTTAAGCGCTTTTCTTGTTACAAAGAATTCACGAATCATCTAAAGAACTGTTGGTTATGATCATAGTATAGTTGTCTGTCATTTCTATTGAAGTGAAGGATGATGTATTGGACGATAGAAATAAGTAGAATATATCAATAATGGATAGAAGAATAACTAGTCAGCGATGGGTCGATATAATCTCTTGGTTAAAACAAACTTTCTCCTTATTTCTATACTTAACGTAGTTAGCTTTGATAAAGAAACAGTTTTGTCACTATACCAACAGTCCAGCTCATCGAAATGCCGTAAAATATCATGGATATATGTATTTTATTAGATGGTAGTCGCTTTCGGCATATATTTTTCACCGAAAGATTTTTTCTCTAGTCTAGTGTGTACGATAATGAATCAAGTTGGAACCATTAAATAGATAAATGTGTCGGTGTTAGTTCATATTTTAGCATTGTGTTTTAGTCATTTGTACCGTTTTCTATTAATTTATCAAATGAACAATCTTCCTAATGAAGCAATTAAACTTATCACATGCTCAACTTTTGAGCACCAAATTAATAGTTCAGAATAAGCGATACGGTTTGCATAATGTTTGGGTACAGCTTCAAAAAAAGTGTCATTGCGTTAAACTATTTAATCACCAAATGAAAAATGTTTGGCGAAGAGTCACTCTTTTCAGCAATATCATTCTCAAGCTGTATAGTAGCATATAAATCTAATGCTCACATGATAACAGAAATGTAATATTTTTGAATAAAATTCACTTCTGACTATAAATCAGGAAACTGGAATAAAGAATTACGTAATGGTTGAAATAGTAATGTGAAGAAGACTTATCAAGACCGAAGCAATATCTGACTAATCAGATAAATGATGTAATATGGTTGAAGGGATTGGTGAGCCTAATGAGAAATCAGAATTACAAGACGTGGAAGAATGTAATGTGAAGGAAAAGATTTTGAAGGTAAAATATTCCTATAAATCATTGTCCATTGTGACTCAAGTGACTGAAAAAAATTTCTTTTGAACACAGAGTTCAGGTTTCATAATCTCAATTGACACGGCTTCCGCAGTCTGACAAAGTATCAGTACACATTTTAATAAGCTTTCATGAACTCCGTAGCTAACATTTACTGGGTGGTGATAATCGATCAAATGTTCTAAAATAGAGCTTCGAGGTACTCTCCTTTATCCTTTGTTAAACTCCGGTGGTATATGTTGAAAAGATGCATTTGTAAAGCGAACGCTGATTATGGCCAATATACCTTACAACACAAGACCAGGTGAATTGATAAACAAATATCGAGGTGGCCAATGGGGCTAGCTTATGCTTTACGCATAATCTAAGCATTGAGTAAGTGGAGAAAGTTAATCGGAGTTCGGCAGCATAAAAAGTCTTTCCTAATGAGCACACCAGACGGTTTCGCAATACATCTGCTTAACTGTAAGCTCATGAAAACAGGCGTCTTAGAAGCCGGGGTTAGAATGATTATTTGATTTCAGTTTCATAGTTCTAGCAATGAAATGCTCAGGATACTGGTTTTCAATCAAATCATTCTGGAGAAAATTAAGTTCATCTTCTAAAGTATCAGGATAGCAAATAGTGTCGGTTCTGTGGAACATAGAGTGAATTAGTTGCAGTTGATGGATAGAGGTAACCAACTATGAAAATTCATAAGTTGTTCGTTTCATGTTAGTTATTGTGGACAGACCTTCCACATGATTTATTGTCTCATCTTTCTAGCCGTGCATCTAAAAACGATATCTTAGAATAAAGTTCCTTTTTAATGTGAACTTGATTGAAGGCTGGGAGTTATTAAACGGAGACAGGATATCTTCTAGATTATCCATATTATTGGAGATGGTGAAGGTATCATCTACGTATCTCTTATGAATTTCTAACTGGTTGATCAGTCTGCTTAGGTGTGTTTTTTAGCTTCGGTACGAAGAAGTCTGCAAGCGAATGGCTCAGTGGTGAACCCATAGCTATGCCATTTTTTTGTTTGTATACTTCATTATTGAAAGAAAACTGTACCTTCAAGGTGCATATCGACAACAACTTCTGGAGATAATTTGTAGGTATCCCAACAATCAGTCCATTAGAATCAACATAATCGAATATGTAACATATTGTCTCAGTCATTGGGATGCTTGTAATTAATGAGACCACATCCAAAGAAAACAGTTTTATCACAGCAGTTTACATTACCAATAAAACTGAAAAAATCAAAACATTCACCAAGTGAAGTGAGACTT